AGATATCACCTGAACGTTAGCAGAACTCATGGTAAATGGAGCCTCCCAGTGTTTGTATTGGCACTTGATAAGCAAGAGTACTCCCCCACCAGTCTGATACCCGGGCCTGTCAGCCCTGTAGCACGCGAAGTCTATAAGCCGATCACCAATAAGGTCATCTGGAGAAAGCCAGGACTCCGACACAGCTGCCACATCAACATGCTCACAACGCGTCACTAACTCCCCCCATTTGTTACGCACACTACAGCAATTAGTGTACCACACGCTTAGTCTCTCCGGACGTGGCTGTTTCCCCTCGGACGTAGAACCCGAGGGGACAACCCATTTTTTGTACCATTTCATTTCCATCGGCTGCCTGAGTCGATGAATCAACGCTGGGCTGCTGTAACGCATTACGGGATAATCCCTTTCCTGGCTTCGCCCATCTGGGCTTCCTGGATAAACTCCCGATGGGTTTTCTCCCATTTACCTGAGTCCACCTAACAGCACTTCATTTCGGATTTTCTGTACGGTCCAGATTAGGTATGGCGAGTATTTCATTTTTCCCATCATTTTGTGAAATGGGCATACCACCCATGGACTTTGGTGCCACTACTATCGAGCATGAGGCCTCGATAGTTATTGAACGCACCACCTGAAGTTCCATTGCCACAGCTTCACTATCCTCTTCCGCCATAGAGGTGTGATTCACATTTCCATCAAGAGCAAGTTTCTCCACAACCAAATGCAGGCCACGAGTTATCTCACTGGTGCCTTGTGAAGGGGGTTGTCCAGACCAGGTGACTGACCCTGCCACAGGAGAGCAGTCACTAGAGCTTTGCTTAGGTGTCTGCGTAACGTGAGGCTCACTATCGTGAATTCCAGCGTGTGATTCTGAATCAGATGGACTGGAATGATAGGAAAATACCTTGAGTGTTCCTTCTTGAGCAAGTCGTTGAGCCAGGAAATGATAAGGTGCTAGGCCTTGATAGATCTAAAAGGAAACACCCGAAACACCCTGATCAACCAATTACTGCCCACGTTCCCTGCACTAGGAGTCCCCGCTGTGTAGGTTACGTGAAGTAAGAAAGAAGTAGAAAGTAAATGGAAGATAAGGGGGAATGAAAGTCATGTAAATGAAGGATAACACCAAAGAGTGAAGAGAATGACAGAATAAGAAGTAAAATTTTGAAGATGAATATGTTCAGGAGAAGGGAAAGGTTTCGTGTTGCCACCCAAGAGCGTCTAACTGACGCTCGAAACCCTTAACCGTAGGTTTACTGACTACACTTTCCAGAAACGAGTTCCAGCGCTCGATAACTCTACGCGATAACCGAGTTTCCGCCCAGATCCGGTCAGAACGCGGCTTGTGTAGCTTCATGGGATGACCGCGAAGACAAGGCAACCTAGCCGGGCTAAATAGCCAGCTCAAGTCCGGTCCAACCTTCCCTGTTAAAATGCCGTAAGTAAGGATTAGGTCTCCTCGAAGCCGTCGGTAGTGCATTGAATACATATCCAAGCTAAGTAGACGCTCGGGGTACGATTGCCCCAGTAACCCCTCGACCAATTTGGTACCTACTCTCAAAACCCTCTCAAGCTCCATTTTGTCCCGAACAAGGCAGGGCGGGCAAGTTTGGACGCAGTATTCCAGATGGGGCCGGACGAAAGCTGAGAACAGCTTCACAAATATGTCGGCAGTTAAGACCCCGAAAGAACGGCGTATTAACCACAACATTCTGAAACCCCTACTTGCGGCCTTCTTCCAGTTGTCACCAGAATGCAAAGACGAATGGACGACGCCTAGGTCTACCTGGTTGGAGACAAGGGGGAGTTCGATCCCACAGAGTACGTAGCTCGAAGGCGGGAATGTTGCTCCTATACGAAGGACGGAACACTTAGCCTGATTTATGGGCAGTAGCCACAAAGTAGACCAGTCCCAGAGTCTGTCCAGGGCATGCTGTATGGCCTCAGAACCCCAGGAACATTTACAACATTCCATAGCTTAAGGTCATCAGCAAACAATAGGGATGATACCCCAAGCTCTCCAGGTAGATCCTTTACGTAGATGGAGAACAGCATCGGTCCAAGGACCGAGCCCTGTGGGACACCGCTAAGGACCGCTTGTCTAAACGATAAGCGGCGACCCACATGTACACACTGCTCTCTTCCCTGCAAGAACGCAGATACCCAGTGAAGGGCGCGGCCAGATACGCCGTAGGAGCTCAGCTTTTGTGATAGCCTCAAGTGGGGTACCTTACCAAATGCTTTCGAGAAGTCTACGAAAAACACATCCACCATGTGACCATTGTTCATTGCCTCGGCCCAAGCTTCACGAGCAACCAACAAATTCGTCAAACAGGAAAACCCCTTCCGGAATCCATGTTGTGCACTACTAAGTAGATTAAATCTATTCAGGTGACATTCCAACGAATCTCTCACCAGCTTTTCAAGCAGTTTGACTACGACGCTAGTCAGACTGACTAGCCTATAATTGGCTGACAGACTCCTGTCGCCATTTTTGAAGATAGGACAGCTGACAGCGTCCTTCCATTCAGAAGGTAATGTACAGCTATCAAGTGACTTCTGAAATACCATCGTCAGCGGTCCACTTAGTTCCCTCGCCAACTCATGCAGAAGCTTCGGGTGAATTGAATCAGGCCCAGCTGCTTTGGAAGCGCTCAGTTCTTGCAGCAGTTTAAGGACTTGCATTTCCACCACAATAAACTCAGCCAAATAAGAACCCTCAGGTGCTCTGGGGACAAGTTCAACGCTAGTCAGGGCGGCCTCACGGACAAAAGCCCCTGAATACTGCACCCCAAGTACACGAGTCTTATCTGAGTCCGCATACGAACGAGTTCCATCGGCCCGCATCAAAGTTGGGATTACCGAAGTTGAACCACAGCGTCTCTTAACATAAGCGAAGAACTTCGGATTTTCCGAAGCGCCATCAGCCAATTCCTTTTTGTACAATAACCGAGCTTTCCTTAAGTGTTATTTACACCTATTACTAGCCTCGCAGTATCCATCATAGGTGCTAGTTGATGAAGCCGCACGGTACAACCTCCAGTACCTAGAACGCTTCTGGAGCAGGTACTTGTCAGTGGTATCTATCCACGACGGCCGCGCTCGTGTCTCCCTTCTCCTCGCAAGCGGGAAATAGGGAGTAGACACTTCCGTGAGACCGCAGATTCGTTCACTAGTGGAAGTGAACTCCCTGTTGTCACTCACTAGGTTGAATTAGGTGTCATTCACCTCACTGCTTCTATCAAGAAGTCAAACGTCAGGAGGAAACCTATAAATATAGGTAACATCCACGGTGGGTGTACAGGGTTTGCTGACGACGAATATGTAACACGCAAGCACGGAAGAACTCCAAGGGTTGAGAACGAAGTTCTATTACACAACACGTAGCCTCTACAAAAGGTAATAAACACGTGGCAAATGGGAACAAAGGAAGTTACAGTTAACCAATGTCGTTGTGTTCTTGTTCTCCACCGGTAATTGAGCAGGAAAGGCGCTCTGAAAGGCAAACGGGAGAGAGTGCCGTTATTGCAACGATTCAACTTTTGGACGCGCGCCAAAACAGTTTCGATTCTTCTCTACACCACACCCCCTCTAATCTGGCAGCGTCCCCGTTGCCACGCCATAGCCGCCCTGAGCCGGCACCTCCAGTTCAACTGCTACCTCCCCAGGCGTTTCGTTCAGCCCCCCGACAGATTGGTCAGTTTTACTCCGGAATGGCTTAAGTCGATTGAAATGTACTATCATGGGTTGACTGGCAGGGTTGTTGGGATCTTTGATAACACATGTCACATCCGATATCACCCGCTGTATTATGTACGGCCCTGTCCACTCATGGTGTAGCTTAACCGGAACTCCTGCCGTTGGTACCTGGTGCAAGTAAACTTGATCGCCAGCCTTCAAAGGAGCGCCGAAAACTTTCTTGTCGTAATAGTCTTTCTGTCGTCGATGGGCGTTCCCCAGATGAATACGTGCAGCTTGATGTGTTTGATGAAGCGAATCAAGGAGTTTGCTAACATACTCTGTCACCGATGAAGGTGGCTGTTGCGGACTGGGTAGTCGAATGTCAGACGGTAATCGGACTTCTCTTCCGGTCCACATAAAAAATGGTGTTTGACCAGTAGAAGCGTGCACTGTGCTTCGATATGCAAGCAAGCATTTTGGTAACATAGCGTCCCACTCACTTACATTTTGATCCACAAACGCCTTCAGTAGCGATTTCAGCGACCGGTTTGTACGCTCAACTTGTCCGTTGCCTTGCGGGTGGTAAGCAGTCGTTCGCGTCTTGTCTATACCGAACACACGACAAAGTTCCTGCACTAACAAACTCTCGAAACATGAGCCCCTATCAGAATGTAGTTGCCCCGGTGCTCCCCAGTGACACACCCAGTGATTGACCATCGCCGTTGTTACGGTGACTGTATCGGCTTGGGCGATCGGAACTGCTTCGCACCACTTAGTGAAATAGTCGACCATGACCAAGATGTACCGATGACATATATAAAATTTATTTACCAACAATATACTACTCCCACAACACTAACTTTACTATCCAAACACTTATCCAATTATCACATTCTCATATTTAACAATCATAATTCCAATACACCCCTAATTCCCCTAAATATACTACATCCTAATCATATTCCCCCCCCTAATCTATATCCTAACCCTAAATAATCAACTATCCCCCCCCTTATACACCCTAACCTAACCCTCACCCAAAACCCCACCAACAAAAAAATCACACACACTCATCCACAACTCCACCCCCCCCCCCACCACCACACGCCAACCCATCACACATCAACTAATACCAAAAATAACCCAACAAATCTTATTAAAAACTATCCATATAAACACCCCACTACCTTATACACTACAAAACCCATCCCACTATCCACCAATCCCCCTCAGACATACCCACCTCCCCCCACATATCCTTAACCCACTAGACACAACCAAAAACACCCCCACTAGAACTAACCCCATATCACAACTCACCACCACCCCCCCCCCCCCCTCCTCAAAAAACCATTAACAATCCCAACATTAAACAACCCCCCCCCCCACACCCCCCACCCAAACCCACCAAAACCACCCAACCCACCCCCCAACCTATCATCATCAAAAACCCCCACCCCCCCCCCCCAACTTAACTAAAATAAAAACCCACCATATATTTAATCACCAAAAAATACACTCTACTAATCCACAATCCATCTACACATCCCTTCCCCCCCACAATAAACCATCAATAAATTCCCCCCCTCCCAAATTCTACATAAAAACCTCCACCCATTCCCAAAAAACATCCTTTTATTCCCTTTCCTTCCCCCCCTTCTATCCTCTTTCAAATACCTATTCCTTCAACCCCTCCCCAACCCCCTTTTACCATCCCTTAAACCCCTCCCCCATAGACCCCCACCTCCCCTCCCCCACCCCACACGCCAACACCTTTCCCCCCTCCCCCCCCCCCCCCCCCCCCTCCCCCCCCAACCCCCCCCCCCCCACCCCCTCCCATCTCTCACACTAAACACGCACATAAATAATCGACTCGCTTATCACAGATATAAACCCTGCTTATATCTTCACATTCTGTCATCTTGTTGGCCATATATCTTATCACTCTCTCCCCACCTACTTACAATGTTCATTTCGATCTCCCCCCCCTCTTGCCCGCACCCCCACCAATCTGTATCCCCCCCCCCACCAGAGATACGTTACCTCTTTCTGTAGTAAATGGCACTTTGCTGGATGGAGTTTGAGGCCCACATTTACTAGACGCGTTAGCACCGCCAAGTTGTTTAGGTGCTTATCTTTCGTTTTTCCGTGTACAATGACATCGTCCAGGTAAACGAGACACTTGTGGGGCATCAATTCATGTAACACTTTTTGCATCAGGCGTTGATAAGTCGCAGGGGCGTTAGAGAGGCCAAAAGGCATGGTCTGGAACTCATAAAAACCTGATGGTACTACAAACGCCGTTTTTGCTGTCGCTTTCCTCCACTTCTACTTGCCAGTAGCCGGAAGCCAAATCGAGGGTACTAAAATAAACTGATCCTCCCAGTGCGTCAAAGAGATCATCGATCCTGGGTAGGGGAAAAGCGTCTTTTCGAGTAATCTCATCTAATCGTCTATAGTCGACACATGGACGAAAACCACCATCCTTCTTCTTCACAAGAACAACCGGGGCTGCCCATGGTGAAGTGGAGGGCCGTATTACCTTCTTTTCTAGCATGTCATCTATGAGCTTCTGCAATTCAGTTTGCCAATGTAATGGTATGCGTCTTGCGGGAATTTTAATCGGGATTGCATCACCGGTGTCGATACAGTGTTTCACGAGATTGGTTCGACCCAAGTCGGTACTTCGCCATGCAAATGCGTCTGAGTGGTTGTGCAATACGTCTTTGAGCCGCTTTAGTGTCTGCTCATCCGTGACTCGGTCCAGTGGCGAATAAAGGCGCTAATGTATTGCTCCCTGTCTAAGTTGTTCTCATAGGTTGTAGAAGCAACCCAAGCACTATTTTCACAGGTCTTTACTGTACAGCCATCAGTGATTAGTTGGCACCTGTCCAGATCCAATTGACACTAACCGGCGCAACAGATCCATCCCAACGATAACAGCAAACGGAATTTTTGTCCGCCACAAACTCCTGAGTGAAGCGCTGTTTCGCGACGTCAAGTTGTGCGGTTAAGGATTCTCGAACGGACAACAAGTCTCCATTGGCGGCAGTTAATCGGCAGCGACAAGGCGCGCATACGCGATCTGTTAGCTGTTTAGTCAAGTTACATCTGATCAGGCTCTTACATGCGCCTGTCGATGAGACCTACTAACGGAACACCTGCTATCTGTAATTCTATTGTTAATGCTGACTGTGTGGTCGATGCACAAACAATGGCTGGTATAAAGTGTGAGTGCAATCGGTGCCACTCACCTGGGGCGTCCGTTATCGTAGCGAGATAATCCGCAGTTCGGTATTTGACGGCGGGGCCATGGAGAACCAGGTTGCGGTGGTCGCCGTGAGCCTGGATATCTTTGACGATAGTTAGGATGCCACGTAAACCGTTCCGTTGACGCACGTCTGGGGCGTCCGGTTCCCCTCAAGGCGAAACAGCCGGCAGTCTGCATGCATGCAATCCCACCTCCGGAGCGTTACACTCCCGGGATGACGTACTCCAGATGGGAGAAACAAGTCCAGATTTACCTCCGTCAGTTCCCGGTCCACCAACATTCAGACGTGCTCGCCGGCTTACTGTCAGGAGATGCTTTTGATGTCGTTGCTGATAGTAAAATTCTGGAAACAGAAGTCACGTCTGAGACATTCACTGCCTTGCGCCGCCTACTGGACCCTCCTGCATTGCCTGCACCCCTACGCAGCTGAATTCCACTCACGGTACCAGTGGCCCGGAGAGAGCATTAGGACGTACGTGCGCGAACTCCGAAAGATGGCCGACATCGCATACGAGAGCGAGTCATCAAGCGACCGTGATAAACGAATACTAGAACAACTCCTAGAAGGAATCCAAACACCATCCATTAAACGTGAATTCCTCCTTCACCTCCCCGCAGGAGTCTTATAGACTTCGCGTGCTACAGGGCTGACAGGCCCGGGTATCAGACTGGTGGGGGAGTACTCTTGCTTATCAAGTGCCAATACAAACACTGGGAGGCTCCATTTACCATGAGTTCTGCTAACGTTCAGGTGATATCTTGCTATCCAAGAGCATGGGGTAGATTGGAGGTTATAGTATGTGTTTTACCGTAGCCCATCCTCCACGCGAAAAGAAGACAGTGATCTTGGTACGTTACTTATACAGGCGGCAATCGTCGCACTTAATTTTCTGATCGTCGGTGACCTAAGCCTTCCGCATGCTGATTGGCAGCATGCAGAAAACAGGGTGGGTACTCTAGAGAAGGAGGTAGTAGATTGGATGCATGTGAATGCGTTCGAGCAATACGTCAATGTTCCGACTAGGAGTCGTACTGGGAGTACCCCTTCAACCCTTGATATCGTGATCACCAGACATGGTCACTTGATTGACCTATGCGTGGAGCCACCCATAGGTAAGAGTGATCATTGTGTTTTGACCTTTTCTCTTGACACACCTAGGCTTGCGGAGGATCCTCGAATGGGTAGGGATTTAAATCGTATTGATTTTATGAAGCTGCGGGATCGAGCCCTTCAGATCACTTGGGTACCGGAACAGGACAAGGCCACTTTGAAACATAGGTGGCTTCTACTCAAAAGTGGACTAGTACAGTTGCTGAACGAATTTGCTCCTCTACGCTCCAGAAGACATCTTGGGAAACCACAATGGTGGAGGGAAAATTGATAGAGCGATAGAGCGATTATGGCGTAGCCACAAATCACCGTGGTGATTCTTGAATACTTGCACACTTCACCAAGCCGGAGCCTATCCCCACACGTACAGCAGCGGCGATGTCCTTAATCAGTGACACATCGTCACAGGTACCATCGCTTTGATATCATTATTTATCTGGCAGCGACGCAGTGGTATGCACAGTGACACACTATAGCACAGTGTAATCACCTCTTGTGAACACCATATCGATAACATATCACTATTGCTTTCAAGGTGCCATTGACGGAGCGTTGCATTCGTTAACTCCATCGGGGGCATTAACTTCGATATCAAACCAGGTGCCCCGACGTATTGCTCAGGATAAGTCCTCAGCCGACTTAAATATACCGCTGAGTGGACCGTGCTATGTTTAATAACTAACCGTAACAGTTATCCTTCCTTCGAGTCGTATGAGACATCTACTAAAGTAGTGCTGTAACGCTGCCCTTCTTCTATTACATCCACATTCCACTACCTTCGCAGTGTCACTTAAGTGAGAGAATAACAAATCTGCAGCCACTTTTGCGGAGTGTATAATGCGGCGTGGGTGCGCAGATTGATGTCATGCTGACTCCAGTAATGCGACATCATGGGTTTGGTAATCGCGCTTTTCTTGCGTAACTTCGTCGCGTTCGTATCATCTCTAACTACATCGTGTACGTTTAATCGTTATCGCGATATACTTGCTGACCAATTGACATCATACGGGAATTTAGATAACAGTTATGCCAGCTTTCGGTATGCATCACTGAATTCATTTCATTTCATGTCGTACATACCAATGATTACCGGGGACTTGATATCACTATGTGGATGCGCTAGATGTGCATGTCGACAACGTGCCTTCTTGTTTCTTATACACTTTCTCGTCCACACTAGCTCCATGGGGCAGTTGGTCGTTGCTGGACGTGACGGGGTGAACAGTCCTTGTGGCCGTGTGAGGCTCCATTAGCGGTTAAATGCATTCAGTGTAACGCGCACTACCATCCAGGCACCGACTTGTTTCCGCTTGATTCCAAAAATACAGCGTGTATGTGTTCACCTGTTAAGGGGTGTGCGCCGGCTATCTTGAAAAAAACTGCCTTTCATCCACTTGCCTCGCGGTCTGATTTCCCTCCTTTTACACTGCATATGCGGGGTGCGTAGTTGAAACCGTAGGTTGGGATGCACTACCCACTCATGGTTCCTCTGTAGGCGCATGTGCCCGGTAGCTAGTCTAACCAAAACACACCTAAGTAATTCCTTGCATATGTACACGTGTACATATATGCATGCCAAAAATAATTCTCTGTATATGGAGATATGCACTTATATACAAGTATATTTAGCTATGTATATACGTCTTCATTTATATCAACATGCATATACACATACATAAAAATATCTATCGAATCAGATTTTTTATGCTTATCTACATACGTAACATGCCTGTAAAGCCGTTCCTCGCCTCCTCAAAAAATATCATTTAACTAGTTATCAAGTGGTACACACACATATGCATGATTGATTTGGCGGCGTCCGTATCCGGATTTGCCTGTCACTGTGAAGTCCACGGGGACAGTCACAGGATGCCTGGGCCTACAAAAGGGAACATGGGTGGCTTGCGCTGCACCACCCATAGCTCCCATCGGTCGGCATTCTCCCACACTTGACAGCTTCACCTCTCTGCGGGCTCCTAGAGACCGAGAAACTGGCCTGCTTGTATACAAATGCTCAGGGACTTTCTAACAAACTGGCTGAACTGAAAGATCGCCAAGCTTCCGGCTCGTATGATGTCATTGGTACCACCGAGACATGGTTGCACACGGGAATGACGGACGCTGAAGTTTCGCTACCCGGCATGTCGCTGATCCGGAACGATAGACTAACAAAAGGAGGAGGGGTAATCCTGTACTACCGAAACGACTTACAGTGCGAAGCCGTGGAGGATTCAGATTCGCAGTTCCCCGACTCTCTTTGGTGCCGGTTGCAGTTAAAAGGCAGGGACGCTTGCCTTATTATCTTGGTGTACCGCGCCCCTAACTCAACACCCGAAACCGACTACCACCTAATGGCTGCTTTAAGGTGCAGTTTACAACAAAAGTACACTCACATTCTTATCATGGTTGATTTCAACGTACATTGTTTAGAAGCCGCTGCCACAACCGGCGAACAATT